GAAGTCAGAAGAGGAAACTGGGTCCCCTAGAACTGGAGGTACAAATGATTAGGGGTTGCCATGTGGGTTCAGGGAACTGACCCCAGACGTTGTGCATAAACAGCACATGAACTCAACTGCTGAGCCATCTCTCTAATACCTATGACATAATTTTTTATCTGGCTTCTTGTCTCTCATTTTGCATGGTGAGAATTAAAACCACCAATTCACGAATGTTGAAAGGCACCTCACCTCCAAGCTACACCCCCAGATCCAGGTTGATTTTTGTACTGCTATTATCTTTTCACAATATAAAAGCGATTGTACCAGAAATGTGCATCATGACTAAAAAGATAAAAGTTCCAAGCAGGCAGTGAGCCACATGGGAAAACCATCAACACTGTTGAATGACTTTTTCCATAATGGAGGTGTGTGGAACACGCAGTTATTCTACAGCTAGTATTTTAGGGTACACACAATGTAAAAGCAGTCACAGTATAAATTTTTTCATTTTTCCTTAGCAATGGACAAAATGGCGTATTGAATGCACTGACTACAAGCCCGATTGCCTTCCCGTGTCATTTACAGTTTTAGTAACACACAGATCCCCACCTTTCAGTCACGGTTCTGCAAACCCCTCAGTGACAGACTGAAGAAGTGGACATGCTGATGACAGAGGTCACCAGGAATGGGACAGCCATCCAGGAGTTTATCCTCGAGGGGTTCCCTGCAGCCGAGCACCTGGGGATCCTCCTATTTCTAGTGCACTTGCTGGCCTACTTGGCTTCCCTTGTGGGCAACATGCTCATAATTACCATCACCTGCGAGAACCATCGCTTACACACACCCATGTACTTCTTCCTCAGCACCTTCTCCCTTGTCGAGTGCTGTTTTATAACTACTGTTATCCCTCAGCTGCTGGCCATCTTTCTTTTAGGGAGGCAAAAGATTTCCTTTGGAGCCTGCTTCACCCAAGCCTTTGTCTCTCTTTTCTTAGGGTCAACTGTTTTCTTTCTTCTTGCTGTGTTGTCTCTGGACCGGTATCTGGCCATCTGCAAACCTCTGCATTACCACACCATCATGAGCCCAAGGATGTGCGTCTTTCTCGTTACTGTCTGTTTAGTTCTGGGATTCCTCCTCATGGCCATTCCAGTTGTAATGCTTTCCCGGTCATTTTACTGTGGCCCCAATGTCATTCCTCACTTCTTCTGTGACTTTGGACCACTGGCAAATCTCTCCTGTTCTGAAACCAGGTCTATCAAAATGCTGTTTTTTAACATTGCTTTAATTGTGCTTTTTGCGTCCCTTCTTATAGCCGTCTTTGCATACAGCAATATAGTAGTCACAATAGTGCGTCTGCCCTCAGCCAGGGAGCGGCAGAGGGCTTTTTCCACCTGTTCCTCTCACCTCATCGTCCTCTCGCTGATGTTTGGCAGCTGTATATTTATATACATTAAGCCAAAGCAGTCAAGCAGGCTGGACACCAACAGAGAGGCTGCTCTTGTGAACACGGTAGTGACACCGCTTCTGAACCCTGTCATCTACACCCTGCGCAACAAGCAGGTCCACCAGGCCCTCAAGGATGCACTGCCCAGGGTCAAATTTCACAGATATCACAGGAAAAATATGCTTTGTTTTTAACTTAGTCTAACTTCATTTTTACATAAATATTCCATGTAAATCATTCAGTATGCTATTTCATTCTAATTCTGCTTGTTTGTTCTTAAAATGATGGCTGACTGACCCAGTAATTCTATCTGAAGGCTTTAATAATGCTGTGATGCTGTGGAAGCTCCTTCAGCCAATAGCCTTTAAGATACCAGCCCACTTGGGCATGGTCTCTTATACTGTAAATACAGCTGTAAATCATGTGCTCGCTCTCTTGCTTCTGGCTCTCACTTCCAGCTGTTAGATTTGGTTCCTGTTCCCCATTTGTGCAGAGGATTGTGATCTAGAACTGTGATCTGTGAGTCTCCCCTAAACAGATAACTCTTTATTATACATAATTCTGAACTAGTGTGGGTTTATTTTGTAACTTCTGTCATCATTGTGATGAAAATGTTTCTATAATAGCTTTGATGGTAATTAAAACCAAAACCTCATACATATTATGTAGGTGCTACATTTTCAATAATGCATCTCAAATTATCCATGCATTCGTGTTGAATCTGGGTAGTCATGGTTTTGCACAAACTTTTTAGTGATGGAGAGAGAAAGAAAGAGAAGCTAAGAGGATAGAGTTTGAAATAAAGAATTAAATTCATGACTACTAAGAATATAAAATATATTCAACAACAGATTTATGTGATCACCAAACCACAATTTGAATGATGCATAAACAATAACTGTCACAATATTAATAAAAAATTTAATACCACTCACTGCAATTATTTCCCATGAAGAACATTATCTATAAGCTGACATTGTTACACCTCTAGTTTTCACCATGATGAAAAGCATTGATATCCAAAGTCCCCATTGCTTTCATTCACTTGCCAGGCTGATTCCAGTCTGAACCCCAGAACTGAAGGCCCAACAAAGGGCCAGAGGTGTTATGAATGTGAAGCACAGTGTGGTTGTTTTGTTGGTTCCCATGCTGAGAAATGCAAACAGTCCAGGAGAAATTACTTCTAAGGGGAAAGAAGTCTAACTGGTGATAACCTGTTGAGATGAATTTATGTACAGGGTCAGGCCCCCATCTTAGCATTAAAGTAAAACGAATCTGTTGACCAATCATGAGTCATGAGACAAGTTAAATAGGTATCAAGGAGGGAAAACACTCTTGTCCTGGTCAGTTTTGTTGTCAAACTGACCCTCAGTTGAAGAAATTGCCTCTGTCAGATGGGCTGTGGGCATGTCTGTGGGGCATTTCATTGATTGTTGGCTAATGTGGGAGAGACCAGCAAACATGGGCAATGCCATCCCTGGGCAGGTGGTCCTTGGACTGTATGGAAAGTCAACTGACCATGGCCTTGAGAATAAGCCAGTAAATCATATCCCTCTACCATTTCTGCTTCAAATTCCTGCCTTGAGTTCCTTCATTGAATTCCCTCAATGATGAACTGTGACCTGGAAGCCAAATAAATCCTTTTCCTCCACAAGTTGCTTTTGGTCATGGAGTTTATCATAGCAACAGAAAACTAAGTAGGACACCTAAATATTATAGAAAGGACAAATGAATTAAATATTGAGACCACATAGTTAAGTCCAACTTTATAATATTGACAAAGTTTAAGTAGATTAAAACTTTATTTTTTAAAAAAAGTAGATTAAAAGCTTCTGTAAGAAGCTTTTAATTATAATTGATTATGAACATAGAAACAGGCTTAAGTTCAAAACAGCAAAATTTCAAGAAGAAAGCTAATGATATTGAGATAATACAAGTAAACTGATAAATGAAGCCACAGTACATATACATGTGTGTATAGACACAGCACGTATACATGTGTGTATAGACACAGTACGTGTACATGTGTGTATAGACACAGTACGTATACATGTGTGTATAGACAAGGGTAGTTTTAAAATGTAGAAAAATCTGCAATCATTTAGAAGATCATAAAGAACACACAACCGTGGTTGGAAGTTCTAACATCATTGTTTCAGTGATTAATAAGAAGATAACAGTAAGTTCAGATTTACTTAAACCCATTCATGAACAAATTGGGCTTGACTAATATTTGCAGGTTCTTTCATTTTGCACTTGTGGGATGCACATTGCTTTCGTGTGCACATGGGGATTTTGTCATGATAGACTTTTTTCTGAACAGTAAGCTCAATCTCAAAACTCTTTACAAGAAGGGAAATATAGAATATGTTCTTAAGTCACAGATAAATAAATTACAGAAGTAGCAACAAATTTTCCAAGAGAGCTTAACATTTAGCTGTAAAGAGCTCACTGTTAATAACAATTTGTTGACAGAAAATATTACTAACAAAATTTGAAGGTGCTTTGTCAGAAAAATAAAATAATAGATCATGTCGAATCTCCTGCAATATAGTCTAGAAAATGTGATTACTTGAAAGCAATATAAAATGAATTATGTAAGCATCAAAATTTAAAGGGTGAAACATAATTTGAATTCCAAAGGAAGATATTCAAGTATGCTTGCCAGTAATATGTATTCAGTCAATCAAAGAATCTTCAGGCAAAGTAAAAATAAGCAAAGCAGAATTTCGTTCTTTGAAGTAACTCATAAAATATTTAAAATCGTCAATTAAGAATAACCAGAAATAGAGTGAGAGGGACAGGTGGACCAGGCAAGGTTTCTATGTGAAGAATGCAGGGCTAGGACTCCACATATCCTGCAGGGATTATAAGAGCAATAGCAAAACAGTATAAATATCTTCAGCTAATAAGTTTGATAACCAAGATAAAATAGAGCTATGTCTTTGAAAGATAAACTTACCAAACCTACAGAAGAAGAAATATAATGTATATATCATTTTTGTCTATTTGTTATTTGTATTCCAAATTTGTGTTTGTGATTCCAAACATTTCCTTCAAGCTTCTCCATACAAAAGGTAAAAACCCTAAGGTAATATCTACTGATAGTGGGATGTGTATCTTAGAGGCAAAGAAGAAAGAATGATCCTGTCTTCTACTTCAATCCATTAGTCTGTGTCTTTTTGTTGGGGAACTGAAAACATTGACAATGAGAGTTGTTATAGAGTAATGTATATTGATTCCCACTGTTTTGTTGTGGTATTATTTTCTTAGATTGCTTTTTAGCTAACTGTTCAGGAATTATGTATTCCTTGTGTTTTCCTGAATATTAAGTTTTATCATCTCTTCAGTCCAAAGTATCCCTTCTAGTATCTATTGTAAGGCTGGTTTTATGGACATAAATTCCTTAAAACTGTTTTTATCATGGAAACGTTTTCTTTCTTCTTTGATGATGACTAGTTTTGCTGGTTATAGCAATTTGAATTGGCTTCTATGGTTCTTCAGAACTTGTAAAATATTAGTCTAGGGACTCCGGGCTTTCAAAGTTTCCATTGAAAAGTCAAATGTTCGGCGGGCCGCGCGCAGCGGCGTTTGAATGGCTGTGAGTGGGGCCCGGCTGGGGCTCCTAGGGACGCTCCGAGCTGCCAGGCGCGGTTCGTCAGCACGGTGGCTGGGCTGAGGCGCTGCGCTACCATGAGGCGCCGGCACTTAAGAGATTATGGCATCTGACACCCAACATGTTAAAAAACGGAACTTTTCTAATAGTATTGAGGATCATCCTATTGATCTTCCTAGAAAGAGGATCTCTAATTTCACTAGTAAGAACATGAAGGAGGTTAAGAAATCTCCAAAACAATTGGCTGCTTACATAAGTCGAACAGTTGGACAAGCTGTGAAAAATCCAGATAGACTGCGGAAGGTGCTCTATCACAGAAAGTTAGTTCGTCATCCCTTTCCAGATCCTTGTAACAGAGCTAAGCAGTCCCCTAAAAGCGGGGGCTGTGACATGGCAAATAAAGAAAATGAACTGGCTTGTGCAGGCCATCTGCCCAAAAATTTACGCCATGATAGTCGAACATTTGTAGTTAACACCAGTGATCCTGGTTCTTCACAGACAGAAAGCCCGTCATCAAAGTATAGTGGCTTCTTTTCTGAGGTGTCTCAGGACCACGAGACAATGGCCCAAGTTCTGTTCAGCAGGAATTTGAGATTGAATGTAGCTTTGACTTTCTGGAGAAAGAGAAGTATAAGTGAGCTTGTAGCTTATTTAGTGAGGATAGAAGACCTTGAAGTTGTGGTAGATTGCCTTCCTGTTCTAACCAATAGTTTACAGGAAGAAAAGCAATATATCTCACTTGGCTGCTGTGTAGACTTACTGCCTTTAGTAAAGTCTTTACTTCAAAGCAAATTTGAAGAATATGTAATAGTTGGCCTAAACTGGCTTCAAGCAGTAATAAAGAGGTGGTGGTCAGAACTCTCATCTAAATCAGAAATTATAAGTGATGGAAATATTAAAATTTTAAAGCAACAATTGAATGGATTATGGGAACAGGAAAGCCATCTTACTTTGGTTCCAGGATATACTGGTAATATAGCTAAGGATGTAGATGCTTATTTATTGCAGTTGCATTGAGAGATTTCATCTTCTAAAGAGTATTTGGCTGTTCAAACGGCGCTGGATTATATGATTTCCAAAAGTAGGTCTCTCCTGAGAACTGTGAACTGTGGAAGAAATAAAAACATTTTTTTTCTTTTAAAAAGCCACATAATAAAGCCACTAATGAAATCCTAACAATGTACTTCACATTGAAGTGGAAATATCCGGAAGGAGCAACTTCAACTTCAATGAGGTGAAAGTGCACTATGAAGACTGTTCGCCTTGCTGCACACAGAACCATTATGGCCGTTTGGTAGGGTTGTTCAAGAACTTCTGGGTCTTAACTCATTCCTGCATAAGAATATCATTTATAGTATTCAAAACAAGACAGGACTTTTACCAGGAACTACAAAGACCAATCATTAATTTTTGTTGTGTTTTATGAAGAAACACTTAAATGTGTGCAGCTATTTCTTCTGTTGAAAAGACTTCAAAAGTTTAAAACATTATAATAAGTAATATTAAAATTTTTTGTCCACACTAAAAAAAAAAAGAAAAGTCAAATGTTATTCTGATGTCCTGTCTCTATGTGTGACTAAATTGTTCTTTGTTTATTGCCACTTTTAATGTCCATCCTTTATTCTGAACATTAGATTTGATAAATTTTCTTCTATGATTTTATTAAGAATATTTTCTGTGCCCTTCACCTTGGATTTTTACTCATTCTTGTACACCAGTATTTGCAGGTTTGATCATTTTATAATGTCCCATATTACCTACATGTTCAATTCTTGGTTTGAGATTTTACATTTTCTTTGAACATTCCTCTATCTTGTCCTTGAGACTAGATATTTTCTCTTCTACATAATTTCTTCTGTTTGAGATACTTTCCACTGAGTATATTGTTTGACTTCAAGAGTTTTTCATTTCAAGTTTTACTTCACTTCAAGTAATTCTTTAGAGATTCCATCTCCTTATTAAATTCTATTTTCATATCTTGTATTGTATTTATTATTCCATTCTGCTGTTTGTTTGTGTTTTCAGTATCATTTCTCAAGCATTTATCTATATCCTCTTTGAGTTTCTTGAATGTATTTCTAATTACTGTTTTATAATCATTGTCACATGCATAAATTTGGTTTTCTCAGATATCAGTACATTAGAAGACATTACTAATGTCTGGAGGAGACATATTGTCTTAGCTATTCATTCTGCTTGTTCGCTTTCTGGGATAGGATCTAGGCATCAGGAATTGGGTCTTTAGCAATTATTCTTGTTGTGGGTATCTGGTCTCTTTTGTGTTGAGTGGTTGTTTAGACACTTGTTTGGCATTACACCCAAGCTGGCCGATTGTGAGTTAGCTGAATGGTGCTTGGTAGTCAATCTTGGGGCCACCCTATTTGATTTGTGGTTAGGGTTTATAAAGAAAGAAGCCTGAGTGGTGGCAGTTCTGATCAGGCTTCTGGAGGTGTACATGTCTGCTGAATGGTGAGTGTGACAACTGTAAGGCAGACAGAAGGGTGGCCAGACTAGGGGTTGTCTCTTCTGGTGGGAAGCTGCAGGGCATCAGTGCCTGGCTGGTTGTAGTGGGGCAACTGACAAGCAGATAGAAAGGGAGGGTTGGGCACAGATAATTACAAGCTCTTTAGGTCGGAAGCCTCATGTTCTAAGTGTTGTGTGTACTTCATTTTTAAGTTAATTTTGCGTATTATTTTTTCCATTCTCTGACACTTTCCTTTATTTCATTCATTCATCACTTTTTTAACTTTTATTAACTTTTAAACTTATTGTTTTTCTATATTGATTTTGCCTTTTGTACTGTAAATGATGCAATAGTTAGCTTTAATTGATTTTCTATGTCTTTATTTCTATTATTGTGCTTTTTATGAGATCAAATACACCAGATTGTGGTCCATCTCTGTTTAGGATAGTAAAGTTTTCTTGACTAATTGTTCTCTTGGGTATAATGAAGTGTTCTTTTTTATATCTCTTGCTTAGTTTTAGTTTAAAGTTTATTTTGTCAGATATTATGCTAACAATGACTGCTTTGTTGTCCCATTTGATTGGAGTTCTTTCGTCCATGCTTTTGTCTTAAGACAATGCCCATCATTAAAGCAAAGGCAATTTTTTGTAGACAGCAGAAAAAAAGGATTTCATTTCTTAACCTATCATCCAGCCTGTGCCTTTTGTTTGAATGATTGAGGCTTTTAATGCATAAATTTCATATTGAAATGTGGGTGTTTGTTGCAGCCACTTTTTCTTTTCTTCCTTCTGTTTTTGCTATGAGTCATACTTTCTGTTTTATCAATTATTACCTTATTTTTCTTTCTCAAGTCTCTTAGCTTTGTTTATTCCTCTCTTCAGGTCACAGTATTGCTTCCAGTATTCTCCTTAGGACTGGTTTGTTGAACATGAATGTTTTGAGGTTGTCTGCATCATAGAAAAGATTTTTCCCCTTCAACTATGCTGATAGTTTTGCTGAGCACAGAATCTATGTTAGCAATTTTGGTCTTACAGAACTTGGAATACATGGCTCTAGGTCCTTCTGGCTCTTGAAATTTCCATTGGATAATAATCTGTTATCTGGTTGGTTTTACTATATATGTGACTTGTATTTTTTTTTCTCCTAGAGCTTACAATACCCTTTCTTTGTTCTGTATATTTAGGGTTTTCACTATGAAATGTTGTAGGAGCTTATTTCTAGTTTGTCTATTAGGTTCCTGTGTTCTTCTTGTATCATTGTGGGGTTTTTCCTTAGTCTGGAGATATTTTTTTCCTATTATTCTATTGAAGATCTGGTGTAAGCCATTGGCCTGGGATTCTTCTCCCTCACCTGTGCCTATGATTCAAAGATTTGGACTTTCCATGGGGTCACACACTTCCTGCATGCTCCTTCCCCATAGATTTATTTTTTCATATTCTTTGCTCTTATGATCTAATTCTCCTACTCTATCTTTGACTCCTGAGAGCCTATCTTCTATCTGATCCATTCAACTTAAATGGCAGTCCCTTGACTTTTCTAATTGGGTTGCTGAATTTTCCAGTTCCATCCTAATTTCAACTTGAGTTCTTTCCAATATTTCTGTCTCTACTGAATTTAGTTTTCAAATACTAAATTGTGGTGATATTTTTTATGCTATAACAAATAAAGCTTGCCTTAAAATCAGAGTGCAGAGTTAAACCACTAGTTAGCCATAGAGGCCAGGCAGTGGTGGCACATACCTTTAATGGCAGCACTTGGGAGACAGAGGCAGATGGATCTCTGTTAGTTCAAGGCCACCCTGGATCATGAGATTGAATTTGTCTAAAAAAAAAAAAAAACAAAGCTTACACAAAGGTGATTCCAGCACTTGGGATCACATGCATTTAATCCCAACACTAGAGAGGTGGAGACAGGAGTGATATGGCTGGGCTTAGAGAGAAATATAAGGTGGGAGGAGACAGGAGCACAGATGCAGTCTGAGGATTTGTAGAGATGGATGTTGTCTGAGGATTCAGTCTGAGATGCAGCCTGAGGATTCATAGGGACAGGATCACCCCTTTGGTCTGAGCATTCGTAGAGGTAAGAACTCTATTGGCTGACCTCTCTGCTTCTCAGATCCTTCAGCTATCACCCCCTGATAGCTGACTCTGAAGTTTTTATTATTAAAACAAATTAGAATTTGTGTTACACTAAATTGTTTTAACCATTTTGTTCATCTGTTTATTTGTATTTTCTTGGTCATCACTTGGGTGTTAACTATTATGCAAAGTAATGAGTGTGGTATAGAAACCAATAGAGTCAGTGATAGAAATTGTGACATTTAGACTCAGAAAGATGAGCATAGTATGTACCCATGCATAGGTGAATACTAGTTGTAAAGCAAAGAATAAGGAATATATAGGCCACGACCCCAGAGACGCATAGTAACAAGGAGAACCCTAAAAGAAACTGATGTGGGAAAATTGTCTATATTCTGTCAATTATATTTTAAATAAATGCTGATTGGCCAGTAGCTAGGCAGGAAGTATAGGCAGGACAACCAGGCAGGAAGTAGAGGTAGGTCGATGAGAACAGAATTCTGGGAAGAGGAAAGCTCATTCCTCTTCAGTCCTGGCCTAGCCACAGAAGAAGCAAGATGTGACTGCCTCGCTGAAAAAGGTACCGAGCCAAGTGGCTAACATAGACAAGAATAATGGGCTAATATAAGTTATAAGAGTTAATAAGAAGCCTGAGCTAATGGGCCAATCATTTTATAGTTAATGTAGACCTCTTTGTGATTCTTTTTGGACTTAAGGACTGCGGGAACCAGGCAGGACAGAAAACCTCAGACAACAAGAAACATACATAGATCCTTCTGGGAAGGTGAAATAGACAAGATATCCTGAGAAAATTGGTAGCTTGGAGGTAGGGGAAGAAGGGGAGGCAAAAGGGGAGGAGGAGGGGAGAACGGGTGGGGGAGGAGAATTAGAGGAAATGAAATGGTTGAGATGGGGAAAGAACAGAGACAGAGAACAAAAAAAGAGGTATCTTGATTGAGGGAGCCATTATGGGGTTAGCAAGAAGCCTAAGAAGGATGACCCCAGCTAAGACCCTAAGCAATAGCAGAGAGGGTACCTGAACTAGCCTTGCCCCGTAGTCACATTGATGACTATCTTAAATGTCATTATAGACCCTGCATTCAGCAACTGATGGAAGAAGAGGCAAAGAGCCACTCTGGAGCAGGGCTGAGCTCTCAAAGTCCAGTCAAAGAGATCAAGACCATGATGGGGAAATGGGGACAATCGCTGAAACAGCTTACCTGAGCTAATGGAAGCTCACCAACTCCAGCCTGACAGCAAAGGAACCAGCATAGTATAAAACTAGGCCTTCTAAATGTGGGTGACAGTTGTATGACTGGGACAGATTGTGTGGTCACTGGCAGTGAGATCAGGATTTATCCCTACCGCTTGTTCTGGCTTTTTGGAACCCATTCTCTCTGGAGGGATAACTTGCTCAACCTAGATATAGTGGGGAGGGCCTTGGTCCTGCCTCAAAGCAATGTGCTAGACTTTGTTGACTCTCCATGGGAAGCCTTAACCTCTCTGAGGAGTGGATGAAGAGTGGGATGGGGGATGGGAGAAGGGAAGTGAAGGAAGCAGAAGGAGGGGAGGAAGTGGGAAATGAATTTGGCATGTAAAATGATAGTTTTTTAATAAATTAAAATAAAAATGAAACTGTGACATTCTCAGTATACAGAAAAAGGCTTTGAATAATACTTCATTAGCCATTTATAATAAGAGTGCAAAAGAAACTAGGAAGAGAAAGGACATACTTAGACAGACATGTTGAGGCCCATCTATGGCAAATATACAGCCAAAACTATACTGTCAAGGAGATAAAATTTTCTCTAAAATTTTATTGCATTGATTTATACTTGTGCATGTATTTATGTGTTGAAGCACATGCCACATATGTGTGTGTAGGTCAGAGGATAACTTATGGGCATCAGG